GCATAAACCATGTCACCTTTTCTGATGAGTCACAGTTAGATTTAACAGTTATCTAGCAAAATTTGGGTGTCTTACCCTCTGTCAGAGGAATATCTCCTCTTAGTTAAAAAGTCCTGCCTCCAATCAAAATATACAGTTGAACTATCTCTCAGATTAAACAATACCCAATAACTCTGGAAACAAAAAGGGAAAATTGTCATCCATATTGCCTATACTCATTAGTCCAAGCTTTCTTTGTCCAGGCTATCCTTAAACTTGTGGTGATCCTCCTGTCTGTAACTCCTAAATGCTGAGACTACAGGCATGGACCCCCATGCTTGGCCAAAAAAAAAGCCATTAAAATTTGTGTGACATACTTCTGTTCCTCCAAATATCAATTACTTTAAAGCTAATTAGAAAGTTTTATACCTTAACATTTTTATTAAATGCATTTGACAACCAGAAAACTTCCCCATGTATCAATGGAAGTTTTTGTCAAGAAAATCATATAATACCAGTGTCTATTTTCAAAATCATTTCCACCTAAGATTTCTTTCCCATAAAGCAGTTACTTTCTCGCTGAGTTAAAATGTCTTCTTTCCCTTAAATCAACAGAAATGTAAGCCAGGCTTTTCAGCACACAGTTCTATAGTCCCAGAACTTGTGAGGCAAAGGTGGTAAAATAAATTCAAGGCCAGACTAGGCTATAGAGTAAGAATCTATCTCAAAAATTTTAAATTAAGTTAAATTTAAAATGTCTGTATGTGCTACAGTCACACAGGTATCGATCTGGCACAGCAAGTTGTTTTGTTTTAGTTTTCAAACAGGGTCTCACAATGAACCCGGACTGGTTGAGAACTCATTATATAGTTCAGGCAGGCCTCCAAAATTCACAAGATCCACTGTATTATGCACAGTAATGGAGATGAAAAATAATCACCAATACCACCAAGCTATAAATCCTACAACAGTGCCCTGCCTGTAAGATATACTGGTGCAATAGTGTTGATGTTGTTAATTTTTGTGATATTGGTTGTTTTGATTTTCATTTTTTTGGAGAGAAAGGGAGAAGTTAGGGAGGGAGAGAGTAAATCTGAAGCTCAGTGGGTAGAGAGGTAGGGAAGATCTAGCAGAAATTGGATGAGAAAAACATCATCAAAATATATAACATGCAAAACTTTTAGATAAAAAGGAAAAGAATGCTGTATGATACAAAGGACTGACAATTATTTATTACCTCTACAACCTCAAAAAGATTCAAGAGACTAGAATACAGTATTTTTTATTAACACAAACAAACACAATTCATCTTCATGCTCAAGAACTCACTTCTTTTTGTTTTTTACAGGTTTGTTTTGTGGTGCTGAGAGTTGAAACCAGAGTTGCAAACATGCCTGGCAACAGCTCTGCGACTGATGAACCCAAGCTCTCCTCCCCCTCCTCTCTATTTTGGCACAGGGTTTCCGTATATAATCCAAGTCTCAACTCCTCTCCCTTAGCTACTGTGATAGGGCAAAGCAGTGCAGACATTCCTCCTTCTTATACTCTTGCTGAGGCTATTTCAGGTTTAACTGGAATTTGATCTCCTTGATGGAGAATCCCATGGAAAATTATCCAACTTTATTCTCGGAACCCAAAGTCAATGTTTGCCTTCTCAGAACCCTCACCCACAACTAATGGCTTACCTTAGCTTCTGTTACACTGCTAAGGAACCAAGATTTTGTTTTTTGATTATAAAAGCCCCTTGGTTCAGAATACCTGAGTGTAGTCCCAGCTGGCTTCATCTCTGCTGAGCTCCCCAAAGCATTTTGTAGACCCCAACAAGATCCCCAGAAACTGGAGTGACACTTAGGGGCTCCAGGATCCCAAGGAGCAGGCAAGAGTGTACCAGCTGAAAAGGTATGCACCCTGACATGATCAGGACTCCAAGAAAATCCTTTCTGCCCAATTTTGATAAGCACTCCAGGGGCATCCCTGATGCCACCACTCAGAAGAATAAAAAGATAAGAGTCATCTGATCTGAACACCCCTGGAGGTAAATTTGGTCTGTAAGAGGCACTATCTGGTTAGGACATAAGAAGAGAGGTTGGATGCAACTAAATGTGTGGTGGCCACCCATAGTTTTTAGTATGTTGTCTTTCTATATTAATGTGTCTCCCTGTGTGTCTATGTGTTTCTGTCAGTTCTGTTTGTTAGAAAAACTACTAAAATGGAAGGAGGGAGTAAGTTGTCCTGAAGTATTCTGTTTGTTAATTCATTGCCCCCAAGGCAGTACATGACTTCCCACAGGCTATACCAGGCCACCCACCCATGCTGTGGTGCCCCACCCCCTTGCAGAGGCCATGGTCAGAGAAAAACTGAAAAGAAGGAAAGGAGACATAGATGAGATAATTAGTATTAGTCTTTAATTACTTGGTCCCCATGGCTAACTACCTTACTGTCTGCATTATTATGGTCATTGAGTCTTATCTGAGCAAGCTAGTGATGGGACCCTGCCTCCTCAACTGCATGGCCAACTAAGCTGTGGGTCCTTAGGACCAAATATGATCCCCTAGAACAGCATGAGTCAATGATGTGTCTCATGTTCATAGAACCAATAGGAAATGTAACAGCACAAGACAGTGCAGAGGTTCCTCCATCTTGTGCTCTTGCTGAGGTCATTTTAGGCTTATCTAGAATTTGAGCTCCTTGATGGAGAATCCATGGGAAAGTACCCTATTCTAGGAACTAGAATAGGTTAACTATTCTAGGAATAGCTCTATTCTAGGAACCCAAGGTCAAGATGCCTCAGCTAACTTAGCTTCTGTTAAACTGCTTGCTTGTACAAACCTCCCGGTTCTGCTGCTGAGCAAGATATGAGGACGTGGTTTTTGCCTTTAAAAGCTCCTTGGTCTAAATGCTCAGAGACATCTTAGGTCCAGAATACTTGAGTGCAGTTCAAGCCAGCTGGAACAAAGACTTTCAATTGGCTATAAACTATGTCTGGATGATCATCTCTGGTGGGATCCTCATAACACTACCTGAGAGCTGGGATTTGAGGCATGTACCACCACCATGTACACCTCCACTCATATATTTGTGTTTCTCTCTCTCTCTCTCTCTCTCTCTCTCTCTCTCTCTCTCTCTCTCTCTCTCTCTCTCTCAACACAGGGTTTCCCTGTGTAGCCTTAGCTGTCCTGGAACTCACTCAGTAGAACAGGATGGCCTTAAACTCAAAGATCCACCTGACTCTTCCTCCTGAGTGCTGGGATTAATGGCATATGCCACCACCACCCAGCATATATGTTATTTCTTAAGATAATTAACAAGCTTTTCAATGCATAAAATAAACAATGGTTGCCCTCAAAACATTACAAAGTAACAAAGGTCTCAAGTATTATCTTGTTTGTGGTTTTTAAAACTGTATCACTATGTAGCCACAGGCTGGCCTCACTATATAGTTCAAGCTAGCCTTGAACTTGTGATCTTCTCGTCTCAGCTTTCTGAATGCAGGGATAATAGGTATGAGCCAGTATACATGGCCCTGGAATTGAATATATTACCACCTAGATAGCAATGGTACCTCATTAGCTATAACAATCAAAACCTGTTTGCAAATAGGGGACAAAATCCTCAACCACCACTGACACACCACTACTGTCTATGAGATGAATAGCAAACAACTATCAGGCTCTGAGTCATTCTCTTAGAAAATAACATTCTCCAAGCTATTAGACCTACTACTGAACTAGAAAACAGAAAGAATACAAGGATTTGTAAGTAAAATTACACGTTACAGGTTGAGAATCACTGATCTAGACACACTTGCCATAATGTAAGGCCTTCAGAAGAAACTCAAACATATCTTTAGATGCGCTGAAATAATTTTCCCATCTGGCATATGCACTTCTCTTTTGATTTTTTTGTTCCCAAATCCATTGTCCCACATTCTATCTGTTCTGAAAAGGTATTTGTTTTTGGATGATACAAATACATAATTAGTAAAAGTATATGCAAATACCAACATTGAGAATTACATGCAGGAGAACTTTCCAAAATTATCATTAAGGAAATTCTAAACTGGAAGGCTTAGAAATGCCAAACAGAAAACTCTTCTTCAACAGAAACTTTTATCATAGTCTAAGTATACCTAAATTCAAGAGCATATTTTCCTCTGGCTGCTTTAGATAGAGAAAATTTACTGAAATGTAATTTTCTGAGAAGTTAGAAGGCATTTCTACACACACACACACACACACACACAAGTTTATTTGTTAAAAATCTATTCAAACTGTTTTTGGAGAAGTTCCATTTTATGTAAAAATAGGCATGAAACAACAATTCTCCTAACTTAAAACATACCTCACTTACAACATATAGCCAAAATTAAATAAATTTAAGTATGTAGGAATACTTTGCATATATTATGTTTAACTTGGCTTTCTTACATAAAATCTCCCACTGAATATTCTTTATTTTAGCTAACTTAACACGAAAAGTTGAGGCAGGAAGACCAAGAGTTTTAGGTCAGCCCGCGCTACAGAGAAAGACTCTCTCTTCAAAAAGGCAACAACAAAACAATCAATTCACAGAATTTTGACCCAGCTCACAGGGTATACCAATAGGCTGATATATTATCAATAGAGACAGGTGCAAATAAAAGATGTTAATAATTCCTTTTGGAGATGATAAATATTACAGAGAGAACACAAATCTACAAAAAAATTTTAAAGAAAAATTAAGTTCAGCATTCTTTCGAATATAAACTAAATACTTTTTTACATATCTTTAGGAAGGGAAAAAATGATATCACTAAGTAAAAACAGTTAACAGGCTGCTCTCCATAACATCTATAGGCTAAACTCATGAACAGACACAATTCTCAGAGAAAATTACTATCCTTTCTTTCCCCATCCTTTAAAGAAATGCAAATCATGCCTAATTTACTATATGTTCTCGAACAAGTCCACAAAAAATTCCAACACAGTAAGAGAACCAAGAGAAGGAAGAGTAGCAGTGTGTTTGAATCTGTACTTTCTTACCCATATGTTGCTGAAGAGCCCCAGAGGAGTTTGCACGAACAGAGAGCATCTTTTCAACAGCTGGTGGAAGTCTCTTCCAATTAGAAAATTCCAAAGTAAAAACAAGGATGTCATCGCTGACTGAATCAACCCTGTATCAACAACATGTTAACAGGCCATCAAAAGTAAAATATTAATATATCAAGGGCTAGTACTAGAAGCAAATATCTCACTCCTATTTTTACAAGAACTTAATGATGAAGATGGGCAAAAACAAGACAACACAAAGTATACATAAAACTAGGGCAAGTTTAGTAGACAGTACTCCTAGAAATGGAATAGACTCTGTGTATAATGGGCCTCACGAGGAATTTCTACCCTACTGAAGAGCAAGAACTTTCTTTCAAATTGGAAAAAGCACCAGTGTCTTGAGTGAACTTGCCATTACCTACTCTCAACTAAGCTCTCATGCCAAATGTAGTCTGACCATCCCTATAGACACAGAATGATACAGAAAGGATAAAGCTCAAATATCTCCACTCACCACTAAGCTGAGTATACAAGGGAGATGGCTCCCCCACGCTCCAGCCCCAACCGCCCCATACCATTCCCAGGGATTGTACAGCTATTCTACGAACTTTCCTCATTATAGATTCAGTCCTACAGGGTGACTCAACATAACAGTCAGCTTTAAGAATGGAAATATGAGTTCCACACTAACAGTTCTTCCTTTCTTCTTTCAAAACAACACAGGATTCCCTACCAACCTGCCCACATGAGGCTTCTCAAAGTGTTAGAAATACTTGGAAACTCATGAATAGAACACTGGATTAAAGTAAATCTGGATTTCTATAACACCTCTGCTACTTAAATGTCTAAATTCTTTAAGTCCTAGCTCTCTTACATAATTCATAACCTAGCTATTTCTACAGATATTTTATAAAAATAACATTCAAGAATATAATAAACACACTTGTAAAAGTCTACAATGTATTAAATACTTAATATCAATAGACTATGAAAACTTCAGTACTGTATCGTCCAGGAGATCTTATATCATTATACACATGAAATTCAATCAAAACTTTAAGAGAATTCAAAATCCTAACAAAAATTACTTGTCTAGCTCAACTAGACAGCCTCACACCCTTCAAAGAAAAACAGGTCTACTTCATTACTGTTAGGTCTCAAACCAGACAAATGGCTAACCAAGATGCCTATTTAACATATCAAAGCAAACTGTCTGGCCAGCCTCTCTCAACATTGCAAGTACCTGTTAAGGAAACATCCTGGCTGGTATACCCTTCACCTACCCTAAGCTCTCCAGCCCAGTGACTAGGCTGGGTCCCTTCCCCTAGGTAACCCAGCCATTTTGCTACATTGGCTTCTTGGCTCCTGTTTCCCTGCTCTTCCTCCCTCTCTCTCTCCTCCCCACTCTTACATGGCTTTGTTCAGTCAGCTTGTCAATCCACTCTAGACTCTCCCAAATGACTGCCTCTGCCTCTGCTCTCCCTTCTATCTGTAATAAAAACCTCAACTCCTTAGGAGCAGTCATGTCCTCCTTTTATTTCTTTTTCTTATCCAATTACTACAAAACAAATTCTTTTCAAGCTCAATTTCTGCAGACATCCATAGGGAGCAACTGAAGAAAGGAAAACAACAGGAGGCTAGAAGTTCAGTTGTGGGTTCCTCAAAAAGCATATTGAGAAAAGGGGTGGTTGTCCTCTTACCTCCAGAAACACACCACACACACAAACACAAACATAGAAACAGATCTCAAAAACAACTTGTTTTCTGTATTTGAAAGTATATTTGAAATGACTGATTAGAGTACAAAAATTGCTTTCCAATTTAAAAAAATGTATGCCTGTGTGTCTGTGTATAATTTGGGGAAGTGGGCTCTCTCCTTATCATGTAGGTCCCAAGTCTTCAGGCTTGTAGGCAAGGGCTGAGTCACCTCACTTTTCAAATTCTTAATTCTTTGTATGTAAACGTATAAAGAGAAACTGAAAACAGCAACACAGTTGTCTTGAAAAAAACATTTTAGTTCTCAGTTCTCAGTAAAATGAAGACTTCTAGGGAAATAAATAAAATGACAAGATATACTCTTTAAGATAAAGACTCTCTTTGGCATTTGAGAACTAAAACAAAGGTTACTTGAATTTGGTTCCTTATTTCTGTTTTAAGGGTTTTAATTTTTCTACCTTAATGTGCTTTAGATCTCACTATGACCCAACACAAAGTCATTTTTAGTTATCCGAACACACACAAGTAAATCTGTGCACAGCTTTAATACAATGGTGATTTTATTTCACAATACTGATAACACCACTGAAATTGCATTTTTATTGCCTACATTGACCATCACACTCTACAGTGCAGTTGTATGATCATAAGCCAGTGACAGTCCATCAACAGAATGTGAAGATGGCATTGACTTTCTATTATTCTCACATTAAAATATGGATGGAGGGACTTAGTCTTATATTCATTGTTGGGAAACTGCTTGACTCTGTAGATTATATTGCGACAGGCAATTAATTATTCAGACAGATATATTTTTAAGAGTACTTAAGACAAGCAACAGACTTACATGTGATATTAATAAACAACCAAAATGTGCTTGGATGTATCAGAATCTTTATGGGAGACTTTTTCCTACAATAGTTCTATGAATATAAACTTAATCAAAGAAGGCAAAACACTTATCACATTCAATATAAACACTGGCTTTACCCTTTCAAAAAAAGATTAGTGAAACAAAATGTGACTATGTTAAGAATTTTCATTTCTAGGGGCTGGAGAGATGGCTCAAGTAGTTAAGAGCACTGACTGCTCTTCAAGAGGTCCTGAGATCAATTCCCAGCAACCACATGGTGGCTCACAACCACCCATAATGAGATCTGGTGCCCTATTCTTACACATGCAGGGAGAAAAACTGTATACATAATAAATAAATAAATCTTAAAAAAAAGAATTTTCATTTCTAAAGTGAATTTTTCCATTGTACTCTTTAGTAGTGACATATATGAACTGGCATTCTCAATTAAGAATGCTAAACTAAATAATTTGATCGTTTACTTGATTCTTAACACTTTCCTATTTAAACAAACTGAATAAATGGAGTACACATCCAAGGATTTATTTCCACAAAAATTCTCAGCTACTTATACATGAGGTAAGGACACCATCTGAACCGAGAAAAGGATAGTATATCTTGCAGAATATTGGGACTATACTCATTCACTCTCTATTTGGCTAGAGAACAAAGGACAACAGGCAACATTTACTTTTTTCTTCCATAGGTTTTCCTAATTTATGAGTAAGAAGGAACAAGAAAAGTTGGCATAAATTCCCAGGTTTGGCAATGGATGAAAGTTGCTAACTTTAAATAACAGAACTATTTCATTCCTGTGGATGTATGAAGAAGTTAAAGCAAAATGATTAAGAACAAAGATTTGAAAGTCACACAAAACTCCAGGATATGAAGGAAGAAGGTACTGGGCTATTCAGATGGAGACAGTTAATGGTTTTAGGTGAAGAACATTAACAATGTGACTGAGGAAAAAGTGGAGGTCCTGAAGACAGGCACCACCTGGGGTTCAGGATAAAGGGGAACAGACTGTCAGAGCTGTCTACAGCTATCCAATGTGTTCTGTCAGATTCAAAGCACAGTCACAGGAGTCGCCAGCCAGACACAGAGGAAGCAAGATGTGAAGGCAGAACTGAGAAAAGCTATGGCCATTTAAAGTAAAATGTGAAGCAAAACCTCTCTTTGCTGTTACTCCAAAGATACTGCTCTGAGGAAGAAACTTCCAGCTAATCCCATCAGGCTGGTCCCCAAATCCCAAATGGAATCACTTTGGAGGTATCTAAAATACGTGGTACAGGACAACAAATGGCAATACTTTTCAGGATAATAGTTCATTGATGAATTAATATTCCACCAGAATATTCCATATTGACTGTTTTACCATGCAAAGCTACTAACTTAAGATTTTGAATGTATTTCTTCTTAAGAGATGCTTTTACTGAAAATAAACAATACACCTGGGGGGGGGGGGGGGGCGGGAAGCATAGTCAGAAGGTGACTCCTATAATAGTGAAGGGGATCTGTTGCTAGCTAGCCCCAGAGGAGAGCTAATTGTGAAATATAGTAGGACATTAGTGGCATTTACAAAACTTTGTTAATTACCAGATATAACTGGCACTCACAAGTATTATACATCTCACTAAAACACTTGTGGAGAGGGAGAGCTGTTATGACAAACATGCAAAATTTGAAATTAGAGATTCCCAATGAATTGTCAGTAGTCTTTATATTTCATTCAATTACCTTAAAAATAGTTTTGCACAAATTAATATAAAGCAATAAAAAGAATGGCAACTATGAGCATTTGACAGGCAAATATGAATTTCTTAATAATCTGTTGAGAGTACAATCAAGGATTCAATCTATTATTAGGAAACTGGGATCAGAAAGTTTACCACACTTTGCATTGACTTTACTCCCCAAACCATTGACCAGGGAGCAGTCTCTCTTCACAAGTAGCATGATCAGCAGAGTGTCAGAGAGAGATAACAGTACTAAGCATAAAGCTTGATGAAAATTCCTAAATTCTAGGTAGAGGTAATGAGAAAGTGAGATACCAGGATACACTATCAAATAAAGGCTCATTCTTCACATAAAGAGAGGCCATGGGTAGAAAGCAGAGTCCACAGAAATGCAAACCTAACTTACATATAGTGACTGTTCCTCAGAGAGATCGTTCAGCAGGGAAAAATGCTGTCAAACCTGATGACTTTAGTTCAATATCTGAAATTGATCCTTGCAAGGCTAATAGATGTTTCCTTAAAATTCTGCAAAATAACATGTTCTCTATTCAGCTGGAGACTTTGGTTATATTTTCTCACTTGACTTACCAGGCTCAAGGTACATACCAGAGTATACCACAGGTACCTATCTCAGATAACAACTTTTGCTAAGGCTAGAAGTGGATAGAAACAATCTTGTCATCACAGAATCCTGACTCAACATTCATATAATCTCTTATAAATGGCTAATTGAGAAACAACTAGAACTAAGTAAGTTATAGCTTCAGATACTTCAAAAAACATTTAGTAAGGAAGACAAATTTCAGAAGACAAGCTG